GATCAAAGAGGAAGGAGTTGCTGGTTCAACCAGCCACATCACATAGAATCACCCTGGCAACCAATAAGGAGGTAGATGTTTCAGCCAGATTGCTCTTATATCCAGAAATTAGTTGTAATTTTTATGTTTTCACAAATAATCATAGAAATAGTTCCAGAAGTCACCATATTCGGGTACACATACACATATATGTTCACATATGATTCATATGCATGTTTCATATATTCATAAATGCTAACTATTCTTCCATATTGCTTAAACTGTTATAATATCCAATTAATGCACTATTCAGTAAATGCAATTAATGTAAATAATTAATTCCTATTTTGTCTACTATAACAAAATATGGAATATGTAAATAAGTTAAATCATTAACTTATATGGGGAATTTTGAAACCGTAATTCAATCTTATTGAACTGTTCTTTAATGTTTAATGCTAATTAACCAAACATCTAACACATTTTATTCACATAAATGATTAAGCTGAAAATATTTTGCATATATTTCCAATATTTTCTTTAGCTTTTGCTATATTTCTATCTCCCTTTGCAAAATCAGTGAAAATCTGGGCAATAAGATATTGATGTTCAAATATGAATTGTGTCTATGTCTTTATTTGTATTAGTTTGTATTGTCCTTAATTAAGGCTAACCCATTTCCTTCATTTAGTTTTATTGAACATCATATAGTGTACTAATTATTATTTAGTAATTATTAGTGACAATATATTAATATCATATCTTGAACTAATTATTGGACATCATATATTATACTAATTATTTATTATTTAGTAATTATTAGTGATAATATATGATGTTCAAATATGAGCTATAAACTTGTAAGAGGTAGAAGCACATTTTCTTCCTTTGTGTTTAAACTCAGTATTATTGTTTGAAGTTTCAAGATGGCCTCTGTAGGGCTTTTTATTTTCTTAAAATAGGCAATTTTTAATTTTTTTGAATATATAATACTTGATATGGTTCAAAAGGAAAATGATGTCAGCATATAAACAAGTAGAAGTCTTGTGACCATGCTATCCCACTTCCCCTGTTCCTCCTGGCCCCATAAGAAACCATTTTTAGCAGCTTCTTGTTAATCCTTTCTGTGTTTCTTAATGAAAATAAAAGAAAATGCAAATAAGTGTTTTTATTTTTCTCCCTTTCTTTTAAAAGGGTAAAAATTTAAAATTTTTTCTATAATGCCCTATTAATCTTGCTGGTGACTCATTTTCCAGTTGGTAACTTCTTTGCAAAGAGAATTCATTAAATTATCTACATACACATTCACAAGATCTCTGTAAAGTTACAAAAATTAACAAGATGATTTTAAGCAAACATTAATTCATTGCACCCTTAGAAGTTTAAGAATAGATTGGATAATTTGCTGGAAACACAGTGCTTGAGTTAAGTACATCAGGGAGCGAGCCAGGTCCTCTGTAGTGACTGGAATGTTCCGGTGCACTGTGTAGGTTACTGCCTTTCTGGTTTGATGATTTGGATAACTGATGTTCTATTTTTTCATAATTGTTAAATTAGTCTAGTTGCCAGCATAAAAGCTTTGCTAAAGATACCACATGGGAAAATGTATACAGATCTAAGAAATGATTAAGAATATTATGATAAATGCAAATTTTAAAAACTTGTAATTTCAAAGTCTTGTGAAAAGTGATGTTGCAAGAGTTTAAACTGTTTAAATTTAGAATGCCGAAAAAAATTGATACTAACAATTGTCTCTGGTGTGATCGTATCATCAACTAATTACAAAATTAGGACTTTTTGATTCACTTGAGCCCTTTCTTTCCCTCATTGCTAACATTTCTATTCAAGGGTGGCTAAGCATCTTCATTTACTAAAATGGTTTTGTTTTGTGTTGTGTAGCATTAGAAGCTTGCTCCCAGTCCCCAGCATTCTATGATACCAGATTGTGCTGCATAGACCATGACTAGGATGGTTTTCCATCCTTGTCACTCTATTGCTAATAGAGTCTGCTTTTAACCTCAAAAGTGCCCTGGATTGATGATAAATGCTGGTCACTCTCTATATAGATTTCTCAATGATAATAAAGGCTTTTATTGAGCATTTGCTGTATACCAGGTACTGTGCTAAGCTCTTCACATGTATGATTTATTACTGCTTATAGCATAACTCTTTCATTAGGCAACTATTCTTTTATAATGCTATGTTACAAAAGGCAAGGGAAGCCAAGAGAGGTTAAGTAATTTTCCCAAAGTCATGCAGCGAGTAGCTGAGGAATGAGGACTAGAATTCAGACCTGTTGGATCCATATAATAACTGTGTATTTGTTGTGTTATGAGGACCAGTCTGTGGCCACCAATGCCCAAGTTAGGTTGGCAACAGCTTATGGAGCTGGGACTACTGAGTTTCTTTTGATTCCCTTAAATTTATTCAGCCTATTCATCTATAAACCAAATAAATAAATTCTCCTTTTATTTTTATTTTTTAATAAATGCCAAGGCAAAACAATGTTGTGTGTGTGTGTTTTTGAGACAGGACCAATAATCTTGGCAGTGTTATGTTACAAAGGGTTTTTAAATTTTGTACTGATGCCATTTTAATTGTTTAGTGTGATGGGTACATTAGGGACAGTGGTTCACTGTTTCACTTTAGAAAAGCTGCTCTCTGTCAGGTTTGTGAACAGCTTTATTGTTTAGTTCACATAAAGGTCAGTAATTCTAAATATACACACTTTAGTGGGTGATGTAATAGATATTTTATATGTGTTGCAGGTACTTTCCCTCAGTGTTTGAAATGAGTACCTTTTATGCCTTCTGGTGTCTATATGGTGTGTGAGTATGTGTGTGTGTCTATGTGTGCATATCTTGTTTGAAAGCCCCAGTCTTATAAACTTCTAAACTGGATTCTTAAATCTCTATCTTATGAAATATCAACATCTCCATAAGATATAATCTATTGTATGTTGTTGGATTTGAAAGATATTTTGACTGCGCAACTTCAAAATGCAGGCTTTGGGTCAGCAAAGAAAGAAAAGACTTGTGGTGGGTTTTGTTTGACTAAAACAAAAATTGAATCAATTGATTCAATTCAACTTGGCAGCCATACAGGTGACTTCAGCTTTTGCATCTTCAGACCTTTCTCAGCTTTTTTCCTGGTCTGAGAGACTGTTTCTTTCCCTTTGTTTCTTTTCTTAGCTTGATGAAGTGTTAAAATTTGTTCATTTCAGAACAGACCATTTAAACATGAAGAAGCCACATTGTTTAGTTCACTGGACTGGGAGCCCCAGAGACATGTTCTATTCTCAGCTCTGGAAAAACTCTTAAAATCACATGACCCTCCTCCTCCCCCCAAAGAAAGATATTACTCTAGTTTGAGATAGTACATTTTACTTTTTAATCAGTGTCGAAAGCATAGTATTAAGTGGAAAGACCTTGGCAAAGTTATACTATCTAAATAGGCAAGTTCCAAATCCTGGCAGAGAATATTCCTTTGAGTTACATTTTTCTACAACTTTTTAAAGTCTCTTCTTGGCTGTAATCCTTCATTTCCACCAGAAAAATACAAGATTAATATATCCATTGAGAGAATGAAGATATTTTGGATGAAGTTAGTATAAATTCCATGTAGAAATGTTACAACATTATAACCCCCAACTGTAGTGTTCTAGGGGATGGAGTAGTGGTGGTGGAATTGGGGTTACTTTGCTATGTAGTTCGGACTGTGGGTGACCCCATACATGACACCCCAGGAAAACTGATCTCTTTAGCTATGGTGGTCCAAGTTTTAACATACCTTTCTCTTGATTTTTTTCTTCTGTATCAACCAAGGCAGATCTACATTAAAAACAAAAACCACAAAACTTCCTTAAGCAAGTAAGGAAAATTATAAAGAAAAAACAAACCTGGAAACTACATGGTTAACAAAGTGCAATTTCTGGACATGGTACAGTGAACAGTGCAAAGTATTTGGTTTCAGAAAAATTAAGCTCTAGCTATCTTCACATTTTAACTGGTTTTGTGCCTTTAAGCAGTTGACTTAATCTTTTTGTTCTTTATCTGTAAAAATAGAAGAATAATGCTTCATCTGACTTGTCTAGGATCAAATAACTATGAAAGTAGTTTGTAAAAGACAGATGTTAGGTGTTGTGTTGATGATACAAGTCCCACCTGAGGGCTATTAGGTACATTAAATACCCAGCCCAGTTGTTTTTCTTCACTTTGTGGGAGCCCAAAGGAGATGTAATTTGAGATTGTGTGCAGTCACACATGATAGGATTCTCACTGTCTACATAGTCATCCTTCTCTACCAGTCTTTTCTGTGGCTCTCTAGCTGAGGTCTGGGTTGGTCTGCCCTGGCACTCCAATCTGCCCTATTTTTCTTGCCCTCTTCTCCTTTACCCTGACTAACCCTTGTTCCCAGAGAAAAAGGCTTGTCTTCCCTGAGTCATACCAACTGGTAGATGCTTCCCTTTCCCCTCTGAAGTTTTCGAGCCCTGTTCTAGTTCTTTCTGCTGGATTGGTTTATCTGAAACGTATTTCTTCCTGGGATTTTGAAACAAATTCTGACCTTCTTTACCTGGGCTTGAATGTGGGTCTGGCTTGCTAGTAGTCTTGCTGCCTTCAAGAGTGGGAGCTCTCTCACTCCATTCTACAGCCTACATTCCTGTTTTCAAGGTCAGCAGGCAGAAACTGCTCTTTGCCACTTTTGAAAGGCTCTGTGTTCCTTTAGGCTTTCCAAGTGAATTTCAATTTCCAGCTTGAGAAAGCAGAAATAAGACCGAAGAAAGCCTTTAAGTGCTTTTACCCTTCTTAACTAATATTAATAGTAATTTTGGTAGTACTACTAGTAGTAATTGTGGTAGTAGCAGTAGCAATAATAATAGTAGTAGTTGTTGTCATTGTCTCAGTAGTAGTTAACATTTATTGCTCCTTTTTACAACTAAGTATGAAGGAAAGTCCTGTACACATATCATTGAAACCGCACAACAGCTCTGTGAAATAAATCTGTTACTATTTCTCTTGCAGAGCTGAAGACACTGAAACTTTACAGGTGAAGTTCCTCACCTGAGGTCACAGAACTAGTAACCTGGAGAATCAGTATTCAAAGCCAGGTTTGGCTGATCAGAACCTGAATATACCGGTACATACTCTTGAATACGTTAATTAGCTCTGGGGGCAGAGGTCACTGACTCAAATGCTTGCAGGATCCAGGTCAGAAATGAAAATTAGTGGATAGGGCCCAGAGTTAGCAGGATGACAATGCAAGCTGGTAGATATGTTACATGGAAACTGCCACTTTTCCTCAGTGTTGGGGTACTACAGGGAATAGTGGGGACTATGGGTTGTTAGAGAATGTCTGTCCTCTCTAAAACAGACAGCTGCTACTTACTCAAGTGGTTGTTTCATGAGGGAATAAGCTTTTTACGATATGAATTTTAAAAAGGCGATAGAAACATGGATTTTATGTGATATTTCCTGATCATTAAATATTGACGCTGATTGCAAATAAAAAACTAAACAAAACACTATGAAGGTTAAAGTTATTATGTCTGGAGACCATGTTTGGCCTGGTGTGCCACCTCTCTCAAGAGAAAAGTTGTGCAAAGTTCTAACCATTTCAGTGAGATAAGAGATATATTGTTCCCTGTTCGTCAGTAGCTGGACTGTCCTTAGCCACTCCATCAACTATTGCTTACCAAAAGACTGGGGGGAGATCCCAGTTTATTAAATGTTGTATAAAGACTGGAAGAAATAACATAAGTAACATGATCCTATCCTTAAGTACCTACTAACTGTGTGCCCAGCACTTTGTATATGCTATTTTGTTGATTTTAATCCCTGCAGCGTCCCTGTTTAACATGTGAGGAAAGAGGTCTTAGAGTTTAAACAACAACAACAACTTGCCAAAGATATTTCTTTAGCAAGGAGCAACACAGGGTTTGAATCCGTAACTGCATTGCTCTTGATTTTTCTGCTCAGCTCTACTGCCTGTTCAGCATAATATTGCAATGAAGTCTACATTATGCTAGAACTCAGATAGGCAAGGATAAGTTTTCCATGTTGTTCAGTGTGATTTTCAGTTTCAATGAGGATGATTCCTCTAATCAAAATTATCTCTGCGCCCTACCAGAAATTCTTCCCTTTCACTCTATCGCCCAGCCTGAAATTCTAGCCTTTAGAAATTCTTTTGTGTTAACAAGCATATGCCTGGGAAGGTCCCTCCTTAAGCAATCTTTCCTCCTTTCACATGTTAGCAGGAAGTTAATCAGATTGCATCCTTTAAACAACTGGCTGAGATCATGGGAATTTTCCTGGACAGCAGGGAGGAGGAGGGGGCCATTCTGAGGTAGGGTCACTGTTCAGATGGGGAGACTGGACTGTAGAACTTGGGATAGGCCCCTCGTACCATGGACAGTTTTATGACTGCCTCGGAAATGGGACAGTGGACACACAAGTTTGTTAACTACTTTACCTTTTGCCTAGAGCGGTCCATTCAAGAACATGAAGCCATATTATTGGTTGGTGCTTTTAATCCCATTATATTTATGGTACAAGAATGCAGCATTTTTTTTTTTTTTTTTTTGCTGTGAACAGATTTGCAACATCTTTTATGCTTCTAAAATAAAACTATAATCTTTTAAAAAATTAATGGCTCTTTTTGTTCCGATTAAGGAACAGACCCAGTTAATAATTAAAAAGAAAACAAAGGCTGAAGAAATAATCACAAAACAATTGACTCTAAGGGATAGGAAGGATTATGATGGACTTTTTATGTATTGTTTGAATTTTTTTATAAGAAGATAACTCATTTTGAAAGGAAAAGAACAGACTTTTGTTGTTGGGGCAGAGTGAATGAAAAAAGTTCTTAGTTGTCAGGGTGTAGCAAGAACAAGGTAGGTTTGCTTTATTGCCTATGAGTTAAAATCTGTAATTACCTAAAAGAATGGGGCCCTACTGAGGATATGAGGCACATGAAAGGGAGCAAAGGAGGCCAACTTCCTATGTCCTGGTTTGTCTTTCCTTCTCTCTACTCCTGAAGCCCCAAGTAAAGTGGGATTTCTGCAAGCAAGAGCAAGAAGTTAGAAGAAATTGGGGTGATTTGATGCTCAGAATTCCCCGGCATCTGTTAAACCTTAGTACTGACTTATTTATTAGACAGGTTTGCCCAAAACACCCCCTTAATGTTTACTGTGCCAGCCCCTTGTGGAATTTGCTCATGCCTGCTTGTAACATGAATCCTCTCTCCCAACTTTTTTGGCAATCCCAGAATAGTTCTATTTTCTTCTCCTTTTCTTTCATTTTGGAAATCAGTTATGAAAATTTTTATTCTTTCATTGTAGTTCAGATGCAGCTTGGGATCCTCAAGTCAAGTCCCTTTTATTTGTTAATGGAAATTGTTACTTTGCCTTAACTATAGTATAATATGTTGTCTTTCTGTAAATTTTCAATTTTCCAGGAGTAGAAGTGTAGTGTTTGAATGTATGCACACATTAGCATATAATAATTAAGCTTTACCTTCTGTAAATAAACTCAAAACTGGTGGACAGTGATTGTAAGTAGAATAAGGTTTGGTGATACTCACTTATGTATTTAAAGGTTACACACTTCTCTCTCTGGCCAGACCTCAGAGTCCCTTACAGGTATTGAAGAGTAAGAAGCCTACAAGGAGGAGCATTAAATTTAGGAATTCAGAATGCTCTTTGGCTGTTAAAGGCAAAATGGCAATCACATCCTTTAAAATCAAGTTTGTTATATAATTTCATTTGTCTAACCCACAGATATCTGGCACTAGGAAAGGCTTTTATGGGTGAACTGCTGTGCTCTTTGTGATATTCTTGAAGATAAGACTCATTTATTTAGTTCCCATGAAAGCTGATGCTGGTCTACAGCAATGTCTTTTAATATGACATGTTCCTCAATGATTTCTCTCTAAAAAACTATCCACCTCTGTGATCTACTCTCTTGTCAGCTCATCTATTTAATTTTGGCTGCCCTTTTCTAAATTGAAGCCGTCAGTGTTCTTGATGCCAGCAGATTTCTGTCAATCCTCTTTTTATCTGTTTTTTTTTTTCTGTCTATATCTGAGGCTGCCCAATTGGCCCCCTAGCCTGTAGCCACACAGAATTACTTGCTTGTACTACTCTAAACACATCATGCTCTTGTGCCTCCCTGGCTCAAATGTCTGTGTTTTCTAAGGCCCTCTTTTTATCTATATCTAATGAAACCACCCTACTTTTCAAGACTCGCCTTACACATTGCCCTACCTTTCTCCACGTTGGCCTTCCACCACAAGAAAAATTAGGCTACCTGCCCTTTGCTCTAATAGCACATTGTGCATATCAAAGTGTCGTGGTCTCTGTGTCACTCCTCAGGTTGGTGTTTCTCAATGTGGAGTGCAGGACAATCCAGGTAGGGTTAGATCTTCTGTTTATATTTTATTTAAAACCTAAATCAATACAGTAAGTTTTCCTGATCTTTAATGAATGCATCCATCCTGGTACCTTCACTCAGTTCTTCTGTTATTCCAGGTTTGCTCTCACATATTTGCTCATATTCAGCATATTCAGCATACTGTGACATGTTGTTACTTTTATCTGGTGTTGAGAGGATTTTCAGATTATGTTAACTTTTTTTTTTTTTTTAACTGAAACTACCTTCCCAAGATGGACAAGTACCTTAAATATATTCCTATAAAGACTTCCTGGATTATGGATAATACCTATAATGTAAGCACAATAAGTGACAAGAAAAGGCCAGAGGTGACTCCTCTATGCCTCTATGAGAATTTCCCCAGCAACAGTGTGGTGTGTGGTTGTGTGTAATAATATATTAAGTGGCCCTGACTTCAGGCCCGTTATAGTAAAAACACTAGTAATAGCAATCTAATTATATCTTTTTTTTTGAGACAGGGTCTCACTCTGGTCCCTGGGCCAGAGTGCAGTGGCATCATCACAGCTCAATGAGACCTCAAACTGTTAGGCTCAAACAATCCTCCTGCCTCAACCTCCTAAGTAGCTGGAGCTATAAGCATACACCACCATCCCCAGATAATTTTTCTATTATTTTTAGAGATAGGGTTTTACTCTTGCTCAGGCTGGTCTCTAACTCCTGGCTTCAAGCAATCCTCTCACCTCAGCTAGGATTACAGGCATGAGCCACTGTGTCCAGCCCTCTAATTACATCTTATAGAAGATTTTAAATGATTAAGATCATTTAAAATATAGATTTATTTCAACTGTTGCTGTATAGTAACATTATCTTAAGGGTTTATTTTGCCCTGAGATAGTATAATAGATGAAAGTAATATAGTAATAGAAATGATAATAATTTACAAATACAGGTTGGGTATCCCTTATCTTAAATGCTTGGGATAAGAAATGTTTCAGATTTTGGATTTTTGGGGGATTTTAGAATATTTACATTATACTTATTGGTTGATCATCCCAAATTCAAATATCCAAAGTATAAATGCCCCAATGAGCATTTTCTTTTCTTTTTTTTTTTTTTTTGAGTTATCATGTCAGTGCTCAAAAAGTTTCAGATTTAGAGTATTTTGAATTTTGGATTTGGGATGGTCAACCTGAAATAAATATCCATTATTAATAGAACATGCTAAAAAAGTTATTAGTAGGAGTATGTGATAAAGTTTAGAGACCACTACATGAATTTAGGTATCAAATGCCAGAGCTGTCGGAAGATAGAGACTGTGTCATCTTCATCTTTGTAGCTTCAGCACCTAGCACAATGACTGGAATATAGCATATGCTCAGTAAATATTGAATGAATGAATAAATCAATGCAAAACAAAGGTAGGAAGGAAAATGCTCTGCAGAGAAATTTTACTGAGTGCAACCTCCAATTAGAGGTGAGAAACCAAAATGAAAGAATCTGATGACTCAGATACAGGAAATAGATTTATGTCTGAGTGTGCAATGCAATTATGACCCTACTACAATATGAATGTGCCATTGAGGTCATCATTTCCTGTCTTATGGGAAAGAAAAATAATGCCAGTTAAAGGGAAGAATCTGAGTTCATTCTCCTTTTGATTTAACCCTAAAACTTCACCCCATTTCTCAGTCCTCATCCAGGGCTTGTCCCTTCACACTTCCAGTTGTGCCTGTTACCTTTGTTGCTTGA